GAATTCATGTACTCTGATGAGTCCTGTATCATTCAGGATGCTGAATTAGACACAACGAAAAAATCACAGGAAAAAGTGGAAGAAACTAGGACCAATCGATATATACTGGCGCAAGGAGCGGCAGCTTATTAACGCAAACATCGGTTGAATATCGATTTTTAAGCCGGTTTGAAATATTAACTGTTTTAGCACATTTACTCAACGTACGACGGCGGCCCCGGGAATCAGTGACGAAATTTTACCAATTTATGTTTCCTATTCTTCAAAGAACGTATCTGACTTCAACTTATATTTCTTATTATGCTGTATGCTGAAGACCAGACGCGGTATGCCGAGTTACCGGGGTCACTATCTTCTGCCCTTTTCGAGGTTCATGATATATCCGTAGGTATATCCACGACAGAGTTAAACCTAACCCAGTTATTTGTAAACTCTGAGGCAAAATTTGACTTTTAAGCTTGCAAGGAATAAAACTTCTTTAGAGAGATACGTCGTCTTAATTCCACGTAAACAAACTTTCAAAAGTTACATTTATGAGCAGAAATACTTCTTTTCGCCACGTGTGCATGCATGTGATGGGATTTTATAACGCTTTCCACTTTTGATACCAATAACAGAAGCGTTATTTATGTGCGAATATCAACGCTTATTTTGAATGACATGGTTTATATGGAGACATAGTGTGGCCTACCTGTAAGTTGTTTATGTAAGTTCCTATTCCGTTTACTGCAGACCAGGAATGAATGGGGTGACCATTTTGTTTTTCCCGCATCGTGAAATGGATCTGTGAACAACATGAATTCAGACGCTGTGTGAAGTCACAAATAAGTTTCCATCGGATGAAGACAGACATGTTATGGCATAACAAATAGTGGTTGACAGTCTTTGAAAGCTATTGCTTCTAACCGTTGCCCTGAGGACTCAGCAGCAACCTGGATCCGAATAGAAGCTTAAATCTCGATGAATGAGACTTCCATTGTTTTCACTACCGTTACCTGGGTCTTTCTTATGTGCATATATGGAAATATCGACGTATTTGAAGGGTTAAAGGCATAGCCACTGAAGGCTCTTCGTATGTGCCATAATTTCGCAAATTTACGCTTTAGATAAAAGTGCAAACGTTAGAATTTGGGCGTTACACAATACAAAAAAATCGAAAAATAAATGCTGCCGTTCACTGTGACTCAGTACGGAAAGACTGAGGATCACGAGGTGTTTTTCAAAGCTGACTGTGAGTAGTCTTATTGCAAAAAACCATCATTTTCAAAAATTGCGCGGTCGAGTTTTTTTTGAACATAAAATTGCTGTCGGCTATCACTATCTCACTTCGTAGTGGGTTCGATGGTCAGAATGCCCGTTGGCTGGGGGAAAACTCTCCGCAGTCTCGTCGCGTAGGTTCGCTTTTGACTTCGTAAGGATGACCACATAGCAGATTCACATAGGTTAACTAAAAGAGGCCCTTCGTTAGCAACAATCGGCCATGTTCACGAATAATTGGAATGTCACGGCTTTCCTGCCTATAGGACAAAGAGAATAACTGAAACACATTCGGCCTGTGCTGATACGGCAAATACCTGGGACAGTCGACCATTTTGTTGCCCTGCGTTGCAGTTGTTAAAGGAGGTCATTGTCCTTCCCCTTCCGTTGCGTAGCTGCTGACACTCAATATTCCAGATGGGGTTTCCTAAAGACGTTGAAAATTTGTCTGAAGTGTTCAAGAAGAAATATTTTAAACGCAAGTCTAAAATTATGCAACGTACTAGCTGCCTTCTGGACCCTCTTCTTACAGTGTCCAAATGGTATTAACCATGTAGTCATCCACATATCCGGGTCTCTACGCTTTGCCACATCTTCTATTGTAGTCTTAATAATATAATATCGATGTTTTGAAGAAAGTTTCTACCGACGTTCAATTGAGGAGTCACGCATTTGGAAACAGTGAATTGTAAGAGTCATCTGTTTGACGGAACACTCAGTTTGACGGGATTCAGTTACAACTTCTTTCCGTCATTAACAGAGTTAACTGCACTCCATATTTTTATGTCAGTTGTGAACATGGGGGTCTTACAATATAATTCGCTAGTACAATCATTAACATAAAGCAGGAAGAGTATTGGGCCTAAAACAGAACCCTGATGGACATCACTTTCCACTTTAGCCCATTCCAAGCTAGAATTGCCAACAAGGAGTCTCTGCGTTCTGCAGGATAGGAAACCCCCGATCAATTCGGCCCTCTTCCTTGACTTCCTGTGTCGCAAGTCTTCTATAAAAGAAGCCTGTGCGGTATGATAGCAAAGGCCTTCTTGAAGTCAAAAATGTGCCATTTACATAAAAGCCCCCATGTTTGGTCTTCTGCCATTTCTCATACGAGTGAATAACAGCGTAATGAAAGAGCATCCTTCTCTAAAACCGTGCTAGACATAAAATAATATTCTGTTTTCTTCCAGATATTTCGTTGTCTTTTAATAATACGCCCTATTATCTTACGTGCGGTGCAAATTAGATTGACGAAACGATAAATTTTGCAATTGGGTCGTGATGATGAGTGTACAGTTTTATTCCTCCAGGAGTTTGCCTCCATCAGAAGACTTTTGAAATGTGATGGAGAGTAGTTCGCTTAGTTCATTGGTGAGTTCTCAAAGTGTTCATGCGGGAAATCGATCCGGACCAGGCGATTTGGCAGGTTTCAGTCAGAGCAGTTCAGCCCTAACCAGGTACGACGAAAAATACCTTTCTTCTATATAGACAGTGGTGTTGGTTGGCGAACGGATAAAAGACCAAAAAAGGATTAGACGGACTAAAATAAATTAGAAAGATGGGATGCTTTAAGCTGGCTGCCGGTCCCTAGCGCTCCGTCCGCAGTCCTTAGGACAGGGAGCAGGTTCTGATGTTTTTTAGTACTCTGTATATAATCATATATGATTTTTGAATGTTTCAGCGAGTTCTGCAATATGTCCAGGTTGAACTCCCTTTGAAGTTCAGCATCCTCAGCTTTACAAATGTTACGCTGCTACTTATATTCCCATAAGAGCGCCTTTTGGACCGGCTGGTATGAAACTCCTGTAAAAACGACTTATTTTTTCGAAAAGGTCTTCAAATTTGACTTTATCCAAATGGGGCGGTTTGTCATTATCTTTCCTCTGAAAGAACAGTTGAGGTCAGCAATCCTCCTCAGCAAGGACTAAAAGGCCTCCAATTGCCATTTATTTCACCATGATGTTTAGATTCTCATGGCAACCTTGACATTTTTCTTCTCATAAATGAGTGGTTCCTTTTTTAAATGCTTCCCTTCGCCTATCAGGCGAAGTTGGTTGTCAAATTTCAGCCCCAGATGATCGCCTGACCCTATTGGCGGTCGATGGCCAAGCACATTTCTTTCTTCTCAGGTAAAGATAAGGTCATGGAAATTTGTCTTTTTCCCTTCTTTAATTCGTGTTCTTAAGCTGACGTTGTGACAGAAGAGGTTGTTCATTGTCCATTGCAGTAATTTGAAATTAAGGTTATCTAACAAGCCCTATGCAATACACGATCGCCAGTCAATAACAGCGGCGTTAAAATCCCAACGATAGGGGCCTCTCCTCGCTGACTAATGTAAAGTTCAAATATGAGATTAGGATCATGGACAGAAACCTGGTTAGACGCATAATACGCCAACGAGAGCGTTAGCGGATAGAGTGATTCTTTACATTTCCACTTCCCGCACCGGGCTATGTACCTCAGTTATGGTGGTTAGCTTGGAGGCAAAATAAAATATGACTCCTCCTCCTCCTCCTCCTCCTCCTCCACCACCTCCACCTCCTCCAATTCCTCGGCCATTGTCTGCCACCTTGGAAGTGAATGATGTATCCGCAAGTATATCGAGGACAGGAAGTCCAACTGAGCCCAGTTATACCTAAATTCAAAAAAATTTGGATTTTAAAATTGCAAAGTATTAAATTTCTTTAGAGATATGCCCCGACTTAATTCAACAGAAACAAACTTCTCAAAAGTAGCATTGATGAGCGGAGTCTTTTCTCAGACCACTAAAAGTTTTTCACACGCTTCAAATCCCGCCCTCGTACGTAATGCCAAAATATGGACTGTAATTGAATACTGTCATCTGGCAAAGACTGGCGCTCATAAATACTGACGAGTTTTACACGGTTTCTTGGACAGTTTTTGATAGGCTAGATCTTTCCCCTGATGTAGAAGTTCATCGAATTATGGTCGCAATGAACAATCAGATTAAATTTACTATGTAGTCAGCTGACTCATTGACTCAGCTAATTGTATTTGGCAGGACTTCCCACCGATCGATTCCTAGAAAGCTGAATTGCCGACCCTTGCGATGACCATAAACGCGCGTTTCAAAAGGACTTAGAAAGACTTAAATAAATGGCTAACTGTGAGGCAGATAATAACCACAAGTATTTATAACTAGCCGACAAATCAGGGCAGGCAACGGCTGCGTGGTCTAAAATGTGAGCGGAAAAGCCTAAACAAGTTTTCCTCAATAATAATGAGATTCTTGCGACTTAAGCCCCAACATTCGTGTACTAAAGAAAGTTCAGGCAATTAGTGACGGAAGAACGAATTTTGAAAGTAAATTCTTTGCTTTTCGCCCTATGCGGCCTTCATACTAATTTTATCTCCAGTCCCTCTGAAGCTGCTCTCAAATTAGAGTAGCAAACAACTCTGCAGCCTAGATGTGACCTTTGACAAATCGCGCGCGCCACGATGCTCAGTACTTGACGGCCTTCCTTCCAATGAGTACGGTAGGAGTACGTATGCACCTTGGCTTGCGGGGATGTGGTGTCATTCATAAAAATATTGATAATTAAAACGCTATATAAACTGGTTAAAAGAGACCTTGATATCTAAGTGTTCTGTGTGTGGGAGAAAAGCAAAACAACACCACTTGACTTTCGCCAGCCCCAGTCGCCGCGAGTGGCAACAAGCAACAAAGTAACGTTACATCTGGTGCAAACTTAAAAATACTCAAACACAGTCGGATATAAAAAATGACTTGCCATCGTCGTTGTACGTTTGCCTTCGCCACTGCCTGGACACTGGTTGCTATCGCACTTCTGCTGATTGAACTCTTTACGCCGTACATGTATGTAAAATCAGACGCTGCACACGGACTTATGTACAAATGCACAGCCGGTAAGCAATCATTCGTATATGTTCTAGTGCAACGTTTATGACACTGCCTATATATGTTTCTCTTCATTTCTTATATACACAGAAATTTTATCAGAAATACATATTCACGCACGGGAATCTGTATTTCCTATGGTAACTACTAGGTTTCTGTGCAAAATGCATACAATATAGTGCATTGTGCTTTATCGCCATGCATATATGTATATATATACTGTTATTTGCGTATTTTGTTGATTTTAGCCTCAGATCCTTCTAATTTGCCATCTCAGATAGAAAAAAATGTGTGCAAACTCAGTTTCACGCCAAATGCCGGTGGGTTGTGGTCTTCCGAACTTCTTTTTTACGTCTCATTATTAATGCTTATTGCGTAAAACTGTGCGCCTGACTTTCACACATAAAATCCAGAAATGTAAGGAGATGCGTTTTGTCCCTGTTGGTGTCTACTTAAAACGCAAAACTTCTTAATGTTTTAATAACACTCTGATATAACCGTTGATGGTAGGAATCTGCCTGCGCATATAAAACAAATTCATTTATCGGTAGTTTTCATACTTAAATGCAGAGATATCTTACTTATTATGGAAACAACCGGCAACTAAATAGTAGCCATAATACACGATAAGTCGGACCTTATGTGCATCCTTTCAGAACCTAGAAACCATTGAAATGTACATAAAGGCAGACGTAGAAGTTTCAGAAGTAAATGGCACATGTCATATTGTATCATTTGAAATCAAGTCATGAATTTTGCTATCGATTCGACAAGCCAATCAGGGTAAGTAAATACGCGCTAGGGCTGAACACCTGTTTATCAAAAGGTGTTCATACTCATGAACTGGGCCCGTTATTTAAAAGACAAATAGTGGTTAGAATGTGCAATAAGAAAACGAAGTCTCCTCTCTTAGTTGCCACCATTCAAAAAGTTCAAACCATCCGTAAATGCGAACATTTCCCGCTAAAGTGCTCCATCTACTGTCTGGGGATTTCTAACGGATATTTAATCATCGGTTTCCATGTGTCACGAAACAACAGAAAACAAATCTGGAGTCTACATGAGTCAAATGACTAAAGTTAGGGAGTCTCCGAATGACTGTTCCCTGAACTTAGCCATTGTTGTTACTTACTTAAAAAGGGCTCCTTGTACCTTTGTGCGGTGGGTTCTTATAATGGTGGTTCACTTTTAATATTAATGACAACAAAGTATGAAACAAACCGATTTATCTTTAGGTAATTTTACCTCTTAAGGAACTGCACGTGCGAAGACCAGATGTGAAACGTCCGTGTGAATATGTGGATAATTTTGCAGCCTAGTTCCCCACTCACCTGTCTGTTGTTTTAATGATCCATGTAGCAACAATTTGTGCCCTGATTTCGTTCGCCATCATCACAATCTTCCTTATATACTCCACTGTTGTGTGGTTCAAACTCTGCTGCATCGCAGAAAGTTGGCCAATGTTTTTCATCATCCTCGTCAGGGTCGGTATAGCACTTAACATTTTGGCGCGTGAGTTGAGATTTTTAATTCCCCATGTTTCTACGTAAAGATCTTTAACAACCTTTCGTATTCATCAATCCCCCAAAGATTTCCATAATAAGCTTCACCCTACCACAGGCAAGATATAACTAGTTGAGTATTTCATACTTAACGGGTTTATTGGTAAATCGAACTCCGTATTTGCCCTAGATGTTGATAAACATCCTCTAACATGCGCGGGATGAGTCTTTCATTGTGAGTCTAAGAAGTTTAAGGTTTTACAACAGCACGGTAAGATCAGGAAAAAGTTTACTGTCTAACATAATTGTCAGGGTTTGTTTTCGTACAAACAAAGGTTGACAGTGGAAATGGACTAGGTCACAGTATGCGCCGCAGCTTAACGAGTGTAGGGAAGCGACTTAGGGGTGAAGTAGTTTACAGTGATGGCAAGCATAGATGACATCAAGCGTAACCTTTTCTCCGTTACCCACCTGATACTGGTGTCAAGAAAGAGTCAAAAAAACCGGATGCGGGGTCGGACGCAGCGGATAACAAAGCCAAACAGTCCCTCCAGGTGTGAAACCCATCCTGGCACGCGTAGGACGGATCAGGGTTTCACATAAACGAGGCACCAGTTCGGATTCCATCTGAGTGAGGATGTCATGGAGACCACATCAGTAAGGAGCCATTGCAGGCTGACTATCCGTCGTGAGAACAGGAACAAGTTATCCCGTCAAGTTGGCAGCCTTCCACAGCGCAGATTTTAGCGCACCGTAATAGTTTAAAAGCGCATTAGATTCTTAATAGTGAGGAATTTACGTCGTGTACCGTGGGGACGGAATCTCCAAAGTCGAATTCACTCTGCGTATCCTCACCCTGCCCAGTTCCCTGTCCGAGTTGGTCGGTCATCTAATGCGAGCTCTAAACGTCAGTGGCTGACAAAGTTGTGCAGCCCGTATACGCGTGCCACGCACCACCCAGTCCCCCATGACGCGTAAAGGTTTCACACAAACTCAGACATAAAAAGAAGAGCTGTCTGATGTGCTCATAAGCCCGGTGGATTAGAAAACGTCAGTCCATTGTTAACACTCAGTTTAGTAATTTGTCCGCCTGCACTTTGTTAAAAAGGTGCTTTTTGCATAAATACTTTATTTTCCAGATACTAGGTGCTTAAAACAACTCTTTTCGTTTTTAGTAATAGCAAATGTCATCACTACGGGTCTTGTGGCCTCTCAAAAACAAAGCGTACGTCCATAAAATTTAAAATACACATCAGCATTTGTCAGGCTTATGTAATTTATATAATTGTCAATCAAATTCATCGAAACCTTATGCTTACTGTTTTCCCCAGGAGACTTGCAGCGGAAAACATCAAATACTCTCAAACGTAGCCTATTCCATCGAATACGTAGAGAGAATTTTACAGTTTAGTACGTCTGCGAAATTACGCCACCCATTTGAGTGGGCTTACCAAAATGCCATAAAAACTCGAAACCAGGTGTTTAAATCACAGTCTGGGCCCATTATTATCAAGGACTCGGGTTCCAAAATCAAAAAGATATTAAAGTATGGTCGACGGAGGACACACTAATTGAAACGGACGTCCACATGGATGTTCCAAAGACCCCAGTGAAGCCATAGTAAACATGCATTTCCTACAGTGGCTTCAAATAGCACGTCACTAATACTAATCCTAGCCAAGAAATTTGTAAGTATTTGTTTTTTAGGGTTTTCATACCTGTTCTTTCCTATGAAACATGCAATCGAAAAAGTCGGCATGGATTCATATAGAAAGAGCATTGGCATGTGGCGTCATTTGTCATCGGTAACTGTTGCTGCCTGTGATTACGAACAATGGAATAGCCGATAATAGCCTTTTCAGAGGTATTGACTAGTAATTTCCCAATCTGGTCTATTTGCACACTCCAGATTTGAAATATAATTTAGTGGGTTTGGTGGTGGCTGGCGTTTACAACGTTTTCGCATCCACCGCCTTACTGAGAGGCAGGATATTTAAGTTGGCAGAGTTTGCCTAGAAACCTAATAACACTGTTAAAACGGTGTCCTGCAGACCGCCGGAGGACGCAGGTTTGACTCTGTCTAACCGGGATAAGTACACACAGGACCACAAATGCCAGAGTAGGATTTGTCAGGAAGCTTTGAGTTGCTATAAAGGTGGACGAAAACATGTATCAGTCGAGAGATGGGAGTATGAAATAATACGTCTGTGCATCTGCAGGGCAGCCAGTGGAAGCAAAATGCATTGAAGGAAACAAAATCCCTTCATGGTGCATAATATTTCACAAATATAGCCGAAGGCGACCTCAATCTGACAAGATAAACGTGCTATGCAGTACAGACTAAATGCATCCGATGACACATAACGCCTCTTTCGTTAGACGCTGAACCTTGTGTTGCGGCATGTTAGCCTCACCACATCACTATCCGTTTTTGTCACAATTGACACTAATGCAACCAGTTGGATGTCATCGTTATTTCTCCTTATTTGTTATATCCACTATATGACAATGTCTCGACTTAAATCCGCTAAGTGAACACCAACATAAACAGCTTTCTCCTCTTACTGTCAAGGCAGCTAATGGAATGCATAAAATTCAACAAAACAACCACTTTTGCCAGTATTGCCTATGCAAAACCTGGGTGAAACCTGAGTATAGAGCAATGATCACAGTAAAGTGGTTCGTTTGCAACCTCATCCATCACAACCAAATTTGGAGCCACGGCTTCAGTTAGCTGGTAAAACGCCCTACATCCTGTTATGTGGGGTTCGAAAGGTGGGAGACGGACAACCACACCCATTTCTTGATTAGAGTTTGAACCCCATAAAAGAAATGAGATCAGTAAGATAATCCATAGTATTAGACATACTGTTGCACTTAGTTTGCGCAGGGTCTTGACAAAGCTCTACGGACAAATAGGTTACTTGGGTTATTTTTGTGCGCGGCCTTATGTGGACACATGTGCGCAATTTATGGTCATTTCGGGTTGTCGACACTTTGCGTCAAAAACGTCTCGTATTTGTTCTCGGTAAATGAAGAACTTATCAAATATTGAACAATTTATTTTCAATGCTCTCCTACGCTCTAACTGGAGGATTCTGATCTATTATTTTACAGGGTTACACATTTTCCTACTCCTTCTACGCCCTTGGTATAGCGGATGGACTCATTCTGGTGATAATTATAATGCTCATTGCAATGCTCTGCTGTCGAACGCGTGATAAAGATGAGCGCCCTAGGAGTCGCAAGGGAAGTACTCAGCAACCAACATACGCGCAACCAATTTTTTACGGTCAGTTCCAACCCGTCGGAACCATGCCCCCTGCCGGCGGCTACTATGCTGGCCAGACGCCCCCACAACCTGCGTATGATGTCCCGGGCAACAATTTTAATAACACCTTCCCATCCAACAGCAGATTCGCTAATTGGAACACTGACGGCAGCGAACCTCTTTATCGATGGCTTTACCTATTCACACGATCAACTGTCTTTGGTTCCAAAAAGTAACACTTTTTTCCCCTCACACTTGCTTCTCACTATGTGGTTATTTTTTATCCAACCGAAAATATACTGTACATATACTGCTATTGCTTGAATACCCCAAAGAAATTTTGTATAGACCCGTTATTCGTTAAAAAGTTGTTAGGTTTAACCCAATGAGGTAACACATTTATACTGTTCCTGAAGTTCAGCGGTGCGTTCTGAGGTACGGACAGTGCATTCATGACCACCACATAGACTCAGAAACCGTAAAATACAAGGAACTATTTACGGAGATATCACACCTTATGGCATTGACAGATTGCAACCGCAACTGCTAACTTATTTACTGTGTCTGAAATCGCACATCCAACGCAGTGCTTGACAGAAATGAACTGTGCACTAATGTCAGAAAATATGACCAACGATTCCCAGGCCGCTGGAAAATTTTCAAATCTTGGTCTTTGGGCTGGATTTCAACTTCAAGCATCGAGGGCTTCCGCTCTAAGTAAGCACACTTTTACCCGCAGCAGTCAACTTAATTAAAAAAAGCCACTGCAAATCCAGACCAGAGGAACTACTAAAAGACTGACAAATGTAGCAATGACTACTTTGGAAGAGCAATGTACCAAGGGTTGAAATTTCTTGTCGGCTAAATATCAATTTTCGAATCTTAACGGGAATAGAGACCTCAGCCCGTAATACAGGATGTCCTTTGCCAAATCCAAGGAGTGTATGATAAGGGTTAGTGTAGGGGGTTTGAGTTATGGCTAGGGTTAAGGCTAGAGTTAAGGTTAAATTTACGATTACGGTTAGGACAAGCAAGAACTTCTGCATTATCAAGGGGCTCTTTTTCCACTGTGTTTTGAATTTGCGGTATGAAGAGAAAGACACTGATGTCATTTAGTTGTACACCTTTGGAAGTAATCAACGTTTGTGCCCCATGCACGTTTATGAACTTTTAAAAATAATGTTTTAATCATAAGAAAATGTGAGCAGCACGTTTCTTGAGAAACTGATCGGGCGTACAAATAAATCAGCATAGGAAGTGTTTCGGAAAAGCTCAAATAAAACTCTAATAACGATGACAAAATGAGATCCATTAATCCAAAGCACGGGCTCCTTCAAACCATTTTCATATTTAGACGACCACGGGTCCAAATCCACTAATTTTGTCATTCTGACTACCCATTTGCCTCTACCTTTCCCATGGGAAATCGCGAACTAATATAAAATAGTAAAAGGAAATAAGCTAAAACATGCTCTCATACCCTTGCGTTGGTGGGTAACATTCAGAAAAGTGGACGGTACAGGAACAGTAAATATTTATTACCGATAATGCAATGTTCCATCGAGATGCGGTCAGCACCTATATAAAATTCCGCCCAACGGGCACTCCGAGTGCATTATATATATATATATATATTGGAAGATGGGCATCCCAAGAAACATAATTCGAAGAAGAATGAGTCCTTTGGGAAAATTAACAAACTTTATTTCACACTTACTACACGTCTGAAGACGAGCTGGGGAACCAGTCTCGAAAATTTACGAAATAAAGTTTGTTAATTTTCCCAAAGGACTCATTCTTCTTCGAAATATATATATATATATATATAAGAAGAAGAGGCGATCTCGGGAACCATAGTTATATTGCCCTGACGTTTCAAAATCAAACAAGATTTCATCGTCGGAGGTGAGTTTTGTACCACGCCTCACAGTATTTATAGGCGGTGACGATCTTGTTACAACGGGTTTGCGTCTATTCGGGGGCTGTCGTTTGGACGCTAGCTGTCATCGCACGTGTTTGTATTGTAACATGTATTGTATATGTAACGTAATGATATAATATATACATTAATACAATGCATAATATAGAGGTAATTTGTTCCGACCTTTTCTGTTTGCTCCGTTTCCATTCGAATAAACCCACCTAAGTCTTATAAGTAACTGAGTAGAAGTCTGTTTACCGTGTTACCAATCAAGACGAACGTAACTCTTGTTTATTAGCTATATAGACAGTTGAAGAGAGTTAAGATACTAGTAGTATTTCTACCAACTTCTGTATATTAATGTATTTGCTGGTTGGGTCTTCGCATATTTACAGACGAGATTATCTGTTAGGCAAACAGTAGACAGTTAATAACGGCAGCTCAATTTTTCCCACATATTCGCAGTCATGTACGGCTATCTGAGAATTGCTGAAGTAAAAATATGCGGCCCAGGAAAAGAAGAGCCAATGGACTCCTATAAGTGAATTACCGTGCCGTTACTAGACAAAAACGCGTAAAGAACCGTAGATGATGTTTTTACACTGAGGCGCACGCGTGACAAAAATTTGTGTTGGCGATCCCCGTTGTAAACTCAGAAATCTTTTCGTTAATGGTTCGTTTCGTTATGGTTTTTTTGGAACTTTTCCGTGTGTACTACAGCAGAGCCTCTTGCACGCAGGCTCCCCGAGGATCTAGTTTAGGTTTCTTTCCTAGCCCATCTGTCAGTGAAATCAGACACATGATTGCACACTTGCATGACGGACTTCAGTTGGCTCCTTGTACTGTTTAATTAGCTTTTTTCCTGTCAATCTGGTCCTCAAAGTCTCTATCTGAAATATTATACCATACGCATTTCTGTTAGAGCAAAATATGGTACTTCTTTCAAATGTATTTCCAGATTTTTCCCCACTTTGCTATCACCCAGGTAATCGCTCTAAATGGAATATTGTTAAATTATAGATGGTTTTTGGGCTGTGTTGGCACCATGAATATGTCTTTTCTTTTTTAAATTCATTAATATATTTCTAAAACCAGTCTGCGCTTCGCGTACATACTGTTCTTTTATTGATAATGAGTCATGTTTAATAGAATTAACGTCAAGATTATTGGCCTTTGGGTGTATCGTACTGATGCGTCTTCCAAAAAACAGTGGCAATCTGCTTTTTTTTAACAAGGGAGTTATTCATTTCTTTAAATCGTACAAACATTCATCCTCGTTTATTCATATTATCTTTCAGTCCAAATAGTCAAGTTTTTTGTCACCGTGGGAGGTCTAATTAAGGCGAGCTCAGTTCAGTTGCGTTCGACGTATAGAAGACAGGAGTCAAGGCGTGGATGTCTGTAATTTCTTCTGTATTAGCCAATTTCTATTCAGTCTAGTACGACGCTTTTATTTTCGAAGTCCTGATTTCAGCTACCCGTAGGAAAGCGTCAGGTAGGAACAAAAACCTTCTGGCGATCGATTAATACTATTAAATCATCAGGTAGTCCTTGCGACTCGGACTTTCATTCGAGCCACAGAACGAAACAATCATTCGTACCATGTGCAGATACATATGCACAAAGTACCAAATCAGCCATTTTGGTCTTGATACATACCTGCCTCCAACTGGGAACACTATTAGGTTGTGAGCAGATAGCTAGGCTGATTTGGCATAAAACATCTTCAGTGGGACCACGTTCATAGAACAAGAATATGCAATTCTGCCGTAAAACGTATAGCCACAAAAACGTTTCCCTGAGTCGTGTGAACTATGCATATGCGCTACGTTTGATCAACATACTGATGAGAAAAAAACGATGTAAAATAAGGCATACGATATAATTCGAAATATTCTACTTCTTCAGTGAAACTTCCACCACGATAAGACAGACTGGTGGCCTTTTTAGAGGCTCAGATAACCGGTGCTTGAGTTGCTTAAAAGGAGTTAAGGTAACGACATCAGTAACTGCGGTCAACTGTGTTCGCTAAATCATAAAACTCCATACAGGCTGCGACAGACATCTCGAATAGTTTGTGGAATATTGTGTAGCATCCAGACGGTGACATGATATAGTTGAATACGAAATAGAGCACTTAGAAAATTCCCAAAATACCTTGATTATGTTGCGCGTCGGCAAAAATGACCGAATGCACAAAGAGGCTGGGTTTTGCATCTCTTTGACACTTGGGGGCACAAGAGTATAACGAATACACTAAACCAAGTAATATTAGCATTACACAATAACCTGTCGAGCTCATGTTAAATGAAGGAAATATAGGTAATGCACTTTGAACCTGAGCAGATGTATGAGCAGGAAAATAAAACAAAATGCCTCACGCGAATAAATCTTTCTGAGGCACCGACTTTTCACAGTTGGGTCAAAGTGAATTATTTGAAATCTGCCAAAACACCTCTGAATTACGTGAGCGTGATAGTCATCTGGAGGATTATAGACGTATTACTTTGGAAAGCCTGACTGGGCAGTCAGCTTACTGTATCAGATTTGATGGATTCCAGATGATGCGTCAAGCTGGACGGGTAAATGTGGACATATTTGATTAAAATGGCGCCGTCCGGTGGGACCTCTTAGCTCAGATGGTTAGAGCGTTGACAGTACTAAAGCTTCCCCTTGCTGTCATGGATTTAATCTCACAGGCTCACCGAGTATATTCCAGTTAGGTCAAAGTGAAAATAATACGATATCTTTAGCAGAAATCTATTAGAAAACAGAGAAATTTCCAAATGAAATTTAGAGGAAATACATTTATTTCAGAATAAAAAAGCAGGACGCAAGGCACCAACATTATTTTACATTCAATATAAAATACCTTTTCAGTAATTAATATGATCAGCTTATAATTATGTCATGAATTCCTTGAAAAATGTTATAAAACTCAAAACGCACAGAAAAGATTGAACGATTACTGTAAGGAAATGATAGGAGGAAGAACTTTTCATTCTTAACGGTCGGTCAAGTAGCTCAGCTTAACTTCAAATTAGGCATCGACAAATGGGTTCCGTCCGTTAGGCCGGTTATGCTTGTTACGTTATTCCAAATACCGGTCAATTTTGGAAAATAAATATTCGGCTAGATCACAGTTGGTAGCCAGGTCCCGTATTACAGGTGGCTGGGGGGTTTGTTCACTGGGGCTATTATTTGGGGTTCCATAATCACCTCAGACCCATTTGGCTTCCGTTTTACTTTTGAGGTTAGGATTAGGGTACCGGTAATGGTTTTCCATTTTCGGGTTAGGCTTATGCCTTTACACTT